GATAACGGCAGCCAAGCTTCCACACTGTTTCCAAGTATTGAGAAAAAAGACTAGAATGAACCCCGCAGTGCTGAACTAGAACTGACAGTATCAGAGTCAGCTTATGGCTTCTGTCACGGAAGGAAGAGAGGGAGGAAGTGTAGGAGGAAGGGAGAGGAAGTAAAGGTAGAGAGGGAGGGAGGGAGGGAGGAATATATATGTTTTTAACATATATTTCTTAGCTCCGTCCGATGAGAGGGCCTTGAGGCAAACATATCCCACTGAAATGCACACACCTAGCAGTCTCATCGTGGCTTTTAGATATCATTAGGCACACAAAAAAAGAACACGTCTCCTTGGAGAAACAGCTGATTTGGAAGTTGGGACTGGGAAAGTACGAAATGAGCCTGGAACATCTTGTGCCAGCAAAGTGCTCAAAAGATGAGGAAACACACCCCCTACGGCAAAACAAAAATTCATTTGACCTTGCTTCAGGGAGTTCCCACTGGCCAAATCTGGGGCAATTTTAACATTAAAAGTTGTAAATGATAGTAATAGGATGCTCAAGAAAAAAAACAAGGGATGGGATGGGGGGGTGGGATGGGAGGGAGACTCAAGAGGGAGGAGAGGGAGAGAGAGATATACATACATAGTTAAAATTGATTTATGTTGTCATATGGCAGAAACCAACACAACACTGTAAAGCAATTATCCTCTAACTATAAAAAATAATGAATAACTTAAAAATGAAATAAAATAAGAATCTATGACTCTAATCTGATGTAAGTAAACAAATGGGTGGAAGGACAGAAGGCTCTTCCTTGAAGTAGAATACCAACTAATCAATATAAAAGATATTATGGCATTTTAAAAAATATCATTTGGCAACCATCTTAGTAATAAATTACTCAGCCAAGAGTCTTAGATGCTAAGATAGTGGGAGAAAATTTGACGAGGAAGAGAATATTTATACATAGTCTGAAAGTATCTGTTTAGAAATTATTTACTAAAAGGAAAAAACATTAACTTTACAGTAGATTACTTTAGTGAACACAACCTTTCAAAGTAATCAAAGTTAACGTCATCAGTAAGGGGTCAAACCAGAATTATGAATTTTTCACTCTGATGCCTTAAGTATTACTGCTAAAAATGTATAGCTGAATTTAATCATAAAGAAACATCAGACAAAAGTGAATTGATTGGACATTCTATAAAAATAACAGGCCCGTATTCTTCAAAACAGTTGAGATCATAAAAGAAAGATGGAGGATTTGCTCCAGATTAAAGGAAGCTAGTGAGATATGACAAAAACAATGTGTTATTCTTTACAAGAAAAAAAATTTTCTATAAAAGACATAATTAGGACACTTGCTAAAATTTGAATACAAACTGTAGATTAGATAACAATATTATATCAGTGTTAAATTTCCTGATTTTGATCAATGTATTGTGGTTAAGTAACAGAAAAATCCTTATTCTTAGGAAAAGGGTTGAAGTATATATGGTTAATGACCCAGATAATCACAATGGTGTGATCACTCACCTAGAGTCAGGTACCAAGGGAACATTTCATGCAAAGATGAGCTCAATAAAGGACAGAAATGGAATGGACCTAACAGAAGCAGAAGATATTAAGAAGAGGTGGCAAGAATACACAGAAGAACTGTACAAAAAAGATATTCATGACCCAGATAATCATGATGGTGTGATCACTCACCTAGAGCCAGACATCCTGGAAGGTGAAGTCAAGAGAGCTTTAGAAAGCATCACTACGAATAAAGCTACTGCAGGTGATTGAATTCCAGTTGAGCTATTTCAAATCCTGAAAGATGATGCTGTGAAAGTGCTGCACTCAATATGCCAGCAGATTTGGAAAACTCAGCAGTAGCCACAGTACTGGAAAAGGTCAGTTTTCATTCCAGTCCCAAAGAAAGGCAATGCCAAAGAATGCTCAAACTACCACACAATTGCATTCATCTCACACGCTAGTAAAGTAATGCTCAAAATTCTCCAACCCAGGCTTTACCAATATGTGAACCGTGAACTTCCAGATGTTCAAGCTGGTTTTAGAAAAGGCAGAGGAACCAGAGATCAAATTGCCAACAACCGATGGATCATCAAAAAGGCAAGAAAGTTCCAGAAAAACATCTATTTCTGCTTTATTGACTATGCCAAAACCTTTGACTGTGTGGATCACAATAAACTGTGGAAAATTCTGAAAGAGATGGGATACCAGACCACCTTACCTGCCTCTTGAGAAATCTGTATGCAGTTCAGGAAGCAACAGTTAGAACTGGACATGGAACAACTAACTGGTTCCAAATCAAGAAAGGAGTACAACAAGGCTGTATATTGTCACCCTGTTTAATTAACTTATACATCATGAGAAATGCTGGGCTGGATGAAGCACAAGCTGGAATCAAGATTGCCAAGAGAAATATCAATAACCTCAGATATGCAGGTGACACCACCCTTATGGCAGAAAGTGAAGAAGAACTAAAGAGCCTCTTGATGAAAGTGAAAGAGGAGAGTGAAAAAGTTGGCTTAAAGCTCAACATTCAGAAAACTAAGATCATGGCATCCGGTCCCATCACTTCATGGCAAATAGATGGGGAAACAGTGGAAACAGTGGCTGATTTTATTTTTTGGGGCTCCAAAATTGCAGATGGCGACTGCAACCATGAAATTAAAAGACACTTGCTCCTTGGAAGGAAAGTTATGACCAACCTAGATAGCATATTAAAAAGCAGAGACATTACTTTGCCAACAAAGGTCCACCTAGTCAAGTCTATGGTTTTTCCCATAGTCAAGTATGGATGTGAGAGTTGGACTATAAAGAAAGCTGAGCACTGAAGAATTGATGCTTTTGAACTGTGATATTAGAGAAGACTCTTGACAGTCCCTTGGACTCAAGGAGATCCAACCAGTCCATCCTAAAGGAGATCAGTCCTAAGTGTTCATTGAAAGGACTGATGTTGAAGCTGAAACTCCAATATTTTGGCCACCTGATGCAAAGAGCTGACTCATTGGAAAAGACCATGATGTTAGCAAAGATTGAAGGCAGGAGGAGAAGGGGACGACAGAGGATGAGATGGTTGGATGGCATCACCAACTCAGTGGAGATGAGTTTGAGTAGATTCCGGGAGTGTGGACAGGGAGGCCTGGTGTGCTGTGGTCCATGGGGTCGTGAAGAGTAGGACACGACTGAGCAACTGAACTGAACTGCACTGATACATGATTAAAGTGGCATGTCTGTAAATTACTCTCAAATGTTTCAGGAAAAAGTATGTGTGGGGGGCAGGAGAGAAAGAAAAGAGTAGCAATGATAAAGTACATGGGACAAAATGTTAACAATAAGTGAACATGAATAAAGAATATGCAGGAATTATTTGTACAATTCTTACGACTTTTGTATAAACGTGAAATTATACCAAAATTAAGTTTTTTTTAAGTCAACCCTTCATTTTATCATCAGAGGTAAACAAGTCTAGCTCTTTTCAGAGTCAATCTTGTAAGCGCTAGGCACTGTATTAAACACTTTCACACAATATTTCATTTAATCCAGATTCAGGAAGTAAGTTTAAAAACTGCCATACATTCTGCCTGTAAAAGAACTGGGATCTGATGTGATTGTTTGCCTTAACGTCCCTTTCTTCTTCTGGCTACAAAAGCCCTCTTCTCTTTCCCTTTCCACAGTGACCGAAGGCCTGCCGTGCTCAGGCAATCATTGTCCCAATCCCTTGACTAAAATGATTCACTCAGTGATGGGTACATGACCTAAGCTTGTCCAGGAACCTTTCTGCAAGCTGACTGCAAGAGGGACTGAGGAAGAGGCACTGTGTCTGATGACCTTCCTCTTCTTGTAAGTTAAGCCTTGGGCTGCTGGCTGCCATTGATGCTCACCTGGGGAGAGTCTGTCCAAGAGACGGTAAGGATCAAGGGCCTGCTGCCTCTGTGCTTAAAGATCTTCCCCAGGAGCTAGGTAAACCAGAAAACTCCAGCTGTGCCTAAGCTGTTAGCCTAATAAGTTTCTGTTACTTTGATGAAAGCACTCCTAACTGACACCATAGATAAAGTGTAATACAGATGGAAAGGGCTTCCCAGGTGGCACTAGTAAAGAACCCGCCTGCCACTGCAGGAGCCGTCAGAGATGTGGGTTCAATCCCTGGGTCGGGAAGATCCCCTGGAGAAGGGCATGGCAACCCACTCCAGTATTCGTGCCTGGAGAATCCCTAAGGACAGAGGAGCCTGGCGGGTTACAGTCCATAGGATCACAGAGTCAGACACGACTGAGGCGACTTAGCACACGCGCATGCACAGAGAGAAACAGTTCAAGTTATTTCTAAGAAACAAAAACACTTCCTTAAAAAGTAGAAAAATGGTGCTTTTCACTCACCAATAATAAGAATATGATCAAACTACTTTCCAGCTCTGTAAGTGAAAATAAGTGTGCGTGCTATGTTGCTTCAGTCCTGTCGGACTCTTCGCACTGTAGCCTGCCAAGCTCCTCTGTCCATTGGATTCTCCAGGTAAGAATAGTGGAGTGGGTTGCCATGTCCTTCTCCAGGGGATCTTCCCAACCCAGGGATCCAACCTGCATCTCTTACATCTCCCACGTTGGCAGGTGGGTTCTTTACCACTAGTGCCATATGGGAAGCCCAAATTAGCATGTACTAGAAAATAAAGACTTTATTTAATAGAGACCTTACTAAATGAATGTGTGTTATACCTATTTTTAGTGTGGTTATGTTACACAGTAAAACTTTTAAGAAATCAGAAACCAAAACTCTTAAAAGCACAACAATATCTGTGAACACAGAAAAAGTAAAGCCCAAGGTTCACATTCGATCCCAGTATATGCCAGTTTAACTCACTTTCTTCTATGACAGTGGTCTTATAGTCTATACACAGACCAACCAACCACATAGCAAATGGATAAACAACTCAAAACATAAGTCATACTAAGAAAGCAGTGTCTTTTAAAAACAAAGATGAGCAAATAATGTCTATTAAAAACTTACCATCAGAACTTGTGAGGACAAAGATTTCGGCTTGAGTTTGTTTCTTTACACCTAAACTTTTTGGAAACCAGTGAAGGTCTACTGGGTAAATATCATCAGGCAGCTTTACTATTTGGCTTGTTTCGCCGGCTAACAAGTTCCACTTCACTATCTGGTGGTCATCACTACATGAATACAGTTCTTCAGCAGTAGTCCAGCCCACACAGCTTACCAGTTCTTGATGTGTCACCATATTAAGGAGACATAAAACACACAGAAGTCTTCAGTTTTAACAAACACAGTATCTTGCAGATGCAGATTATAAGAACAGTATAAAACAGGGTCAAACGTTTCAGGCTTCAAAACCTATTTCTCAGTGTATGAGAATATGAAAAAGGGCACACTTTCATATTTTTTCCATATAAGGAAAGGAAAATAAGCATCTATCAAAACAGTTGTAAGAAGAATGGAAAGCAGGATAAAAAACCCAGGTGCCAAAAGAGAAAAAAAGAAAGATTTAATACATGAAAAAATTTTAAATGTGTTACAAAATATTCTATAAACAAGGCCAAAAGATGCAGAAAGACATCTAACAGATTAAAAGGAATGAAAGATCTACTCTAATCTGTTGTAGGATAAGTGGGGAGAAAAGGGAAATATGTATTTTTTTTATTTACCTATATCTGTATTGTTATTAGAATAAGCATGTATCATTTTGATAAGTTTTTAAAAATCAATTGTTAAAAGAACACTGAAATCTAACAGTTAAATACCTCCTTAAATAACATAATAATTTACCCAGGAAAAAATTACAGCTTAATAGCTGAAACTAAAATCCTACCAAACTTCCTGACATTAAATTCAGGAAGTAATTCAGTTACAATTTACTGCCCATACAAGGTGATATGGATAAGATATAAACCCTAAAATTCTTACTTTAACTTATTTTTTGGTCTCTGATTTATCAAGTAGATTTCTATAAATTGAGGTGCTCAAGTGGCCCTTACTTCCTATATCAGAACAGGCTCTTACCCTAGCAGAGTGTGTATTCTACAAAAGGAACTTTAGATTGTCTTTTATGAGAGATGCTTTCTCCTATTTACATATGGATTTCTATATTACCATATCAACCTAGTTGGGTTGTTTGCTCTTTTGTTGTTATTATATAATCATTTTACTTCCTTCTCTTTTCACTAATGCTTTCTATTGGCTTACCCAAGCAATCAATAAACTCTAAGAAAAAAAAAGAGACTATGTGCCATAATTATTCTGTGATGTTCTAAGATTTTTTTTTAAAGATTTTCTTAATACTTCAAAATATGATTAAGCAAATAACCAGAAAGGTAAAAAATGAAATTATAGAAGAGTCTGAAGAGTCTGCACAAATAGGTAACAAAGTGGCATTGGAATACTCAGAATTCAAAGCAAAATCTAAACAAAAGAACCTTGATATCACTAGACAATTACTGAAAAAAATTCTTCCAGTATAACTGTCATAGCTTAAACAGTGTTAGTTAAAACCTTTATTATACAAAGGGAGAGTATCAGCTAAAACCTAGAAAGAAAATATACACACACACTCCAAAACAAAAAACATTAATTTTATCCTTATAAAAACTGATGTAAGTACCCAGCAGACATATGTGAGGTGTCTTCAAACTAGTAAGTCAACTAAAATTATGGGAGAAATGAGAGGACTGCTAGAATAAGAAAGTCTAGAAAGATCATTATTCTTCAGCTTGAAAAGGTAAAAGCAGACACAAGACAGTCAAAATCTATAAGACTGTAAAACGCATGAACTTCTGAGGGCACACTTTGAAAAAGAATAAAAGTGATTCAATGAAAAATAAAAGGAATTACATCTTCACTCAAACAGTAAAAAAAAAATAATAATAATATAAATTCAAAACATTTGATCAAATGTCTAAAATACTGCTTTTCTATCACTGAAGGATCATATTTTTCTTTATTTCAAATCTGTTGAAGAGCAACATTTTGTAAGGTAAAATAAAAATGAATTACTAGGAAAATGATCTTACATTGGGATGTTGTGACTGTCAAATTGCTACAAAAATTTCTTCCCTCTTACTTTCAATTTCTGTTCTTATCATTTTACAGGCCTGTAGTAAAGTGAAGATGATACTTCTAGAAGCACTGGTCTAAATAACTACCAATGAAGGTAAAGGGGCCTACCATAGCTTTCCGACATATAATTGGGAGTTCTTGCTGACAAAATACAGGGTCATGCATTTGATAAAATATTTATAATTGCCACATTCACACATGAAATAATAAAGGTCTGACTGCTCAGACTTTCCCAGCTTACCCTCCATTTTATCATGAGTATGAAAAAACAGAACAGAATTCAATGAAAACATACTAGGTCTTACCAAGAGCTACCGTTTTTTATGTACATAAGTACAGTAGTACTAAAGTAAAGTAAGAAAAAATTTAATAAATATTTGAAAGTAAGATTTAGAGCAAATAATTTGCTTTGGAAAAATACCTGCAACATATGACCTCAAATATTTCAGAAATAACTTACAAAACTATCATTAAAGGAATGAAGAAAAAATCCACTCTGCAACTAGACTACAAAATAGAAGAAAACTTTTAATAATACTACAATAAGGAGATCACAATAGGTTTATAAGTATTAAAAGGATATGCTTTGGTTCTTTTAAAAGAGATATCTTCAGTCTCATGTCTCCACCTTCCAGCAAAATTTTTTAAATGCCACCAGATTGTATTCACTGTAAAAATAAAAGGAGGAAAATACAGAATACACATTAAGAACATATATACACAAAAAATTAAAAGCAAACAAAGTATCTTAGCACCCTGATGACGCTAAAGCACTTTCAATCCTGCTGGCATCAAATACATGGAAAGAGTAAGAAAACCAGTCAGAGGACTAATTCAGCCAATGGGTGACTGGAGGCTTTAGGCTGGACTCCAGAGGTTCTCTACAACCTGCCTAAAACAGTCCTACAAGCACAGAATGTCAGTAAAACTGGCCAGGTAAATAATTTCCAAGGGCTGTCCTAAGACCTAATCAAAAGATTTTTTAAACTATGGGAGCTTCAACTTCAGCATCAGTCCATCCAGTGAATATTCAGGACTGATTTCCTTTAGGATGGACTGGTTGGATCTCCTTGCAGTCCAAGGGACTCTCAAGAGTCTTCTCCAACACCACAGTTCAAAAGCATCAATTCTTCAGCACTCAGTTTTCTTTATAGTTCAACTTTCACATCCATACTTGACTACTGGAAAAACCACATCTTTGACTAGACGGACCTTTGTTGGCAAAGTAATGTCTCTGCTTTTTAATATGCTGTCTAGGTTGGTCATAACTAGTCTTAATTTCATGGCTGCAATCACCATCTGCAGTGATTCTGGAGCCAAAAAAATAAAGTCTCTCACTGTTTCCATTTTTCCCCATCTATTTGTCATGAAGTGATGTGACCAGATGCCATGTTAGTTTTCTGAATGTTGAGTTTTAAGCCAACTTTTTCACTCGCCTCTTTCACTTCCATCAAGAGGCTCTTTAACTCTTCTTTGCTTTCTGCCATAAGGGTGGTGTCATCTGTATCTGAGGTTATTGATATTTCTCCAAGCAATCTTGATTCCAGCTTGTGCTTCATCCAGCCCGACATTTCACATGATACACTCTGCATAAGTTAAATAAGCAGGGTGACAATATACAGCCTTGATATACTCCTTTTCCTATTTGGAACCAGTCTGTTGTTCCATGTCCAGTTCTGTTGCTCCTTGACCTGCATACAGATTTCTCAGGAGGCAGGTAAGGTGGTCTGGTATTCACATCTCTTGAAGAATTTTCCACAGTTTGTTGCAATCCACACAGTCAAAGGCTGTGGCGTAGTCAATAAAGCAGAAGTGGATGTTTTTCTGGAACTCTCTTGCTTTCTCGATGATCCAGTGCATGTTGCCAATTTGATCTCTGGTTCCTCTGCCTTTCCTAAATCCAGTAAACCACACTTCATGTATTGTTGAAGCCTGGCTTGGAGAATTTTGAGCATTACTTTGCTAGCATGTGAGATGAGTGCAATTGTGCAGTAATCTGAATATTCTTTGGCATTGCCTTTCTTTGGGATTGGAATGAAAACTGACCTTTTCCAGTGAATGGATATACATTAAAATAAATTCCAAAGATCTGATCAAAGGCTAAGATACATTTTTATGGCATTTAATTATGGAACCCACATGGGAATACTATGACATCATCAACCTAGTGATCCAATCTGAGATTTACATTCTATTGGAGGTAAACAGACTGCCCATCAGTTATGGCTGCCATGTGGCAAAGTGAAAAATAAGCAAGTTATCTAAGAAAGAGGTAATAAATCCCTTATAAAAACTATATAAAAATCACAATGTAACTGGCAAACAAAAACTTAGAAAAACAAGAGTTACACTTTCACAAATAACCATGCTATCAAAAGATACAAGTGAAGAAAATGCTAAAATTGTTTGAATCCAACTTACAGTTATAGGATTCTTTGAATCATATTACTAACCTAGAGAAAAAAAATAAATGAAAGTGTAATTAAAGGAAAAAATCCTCTTCACCAAGTAGAAAATTACTGCTAACTACATCAAAGAAGGTGTTTAGTGATAGGTAAGAATTCAGTGGTCCTGCCTTAAATAACTTCTCATTCTCCCAAATTGAGAAGACTTTTAGATTAGCAAGGTACTAAATACAGCTTATCTCAAAGCACCTTTTTCACTTACTCTATTCATAAATTTGTGAGGATGGGTAGAAAGTTGTTAAGACCACAGAAAAAAATCTGAAGTTTTCTATCCAGTTAATATATACCGTTAGGTCAGAAATCCCTCTCTCCCCTACAGTTCACTTAAGGAGATTTATGTATAACTTCAAAAGTATGAATCTGTGTATAGCAGCCAGAGCAAGAAAATAATCTTAGTCACACTTCTAAGGCTCACTTTTGGTCCTTAGGAGTTTTAGCACCTTTCTTGAAACTACTTCCTCCCTTCTATCAGACCTCCTTTAACTAGGGGGGGAAAAAAAGTAAAAACAGACTGCCGTTTCACAATAATTCAAACTCACCCAGCTTATAAGGATTTTAAAAGAATAAAGGCAGATAAACTGTTGCTTCTTGAAATGAGAAACAACATAATAGACAAGAATACATGTATGTGAATTTACAGTTTTAACCAGAAACTTTAAAGATCTTTAGCAAAGGCA